TTCCATCCCTGGCCCCAGAGGTGATCCAAATGGCACAGCAGACCTCTCCTGACCCGCCTGCTGCTCCCCTTGTGAACCTTCTCACCCCCACACCTCTGACCTACACCCTAGTTCTTCTGTGCAAAAATAAATCAATCTTTAAAAATATATACATGATAAATTTAATAGTGGAGAAACTAGAGCTCTTATATATTGCTGTTGGGAATGTAAAATAGTAGAGTCACTCTGTGGAAAATAGTTTGGCAGCTCCTTTCAAAACTAAAAATGGACTTACCACATATGACCCAGAAATCTTACTGTTAGTCATTTATTCCAGAGAAATGAAGACATTATTATGCAGAATTTGTACATAATTGTTCGTAGCAGCTTTATTCATTACAGCCTTAAACTGGAAACTACTAAAATATTCAGTGAGTAAATGATTAAACAAACTGTGGTACACCCAAACCGTGGACGACTTCTCAGCAATTGCAAGGAATGGACTATTGATCCAACAGTTTGGATGAACCTCAAGGAAATTATAATGGTACCAATTTCCAAATGTTACATGCTGCATGATTCCATTTATATAACACTTGTGAACTAACATAAGTGTCTAAGTCTAGGTTTTCCTCACTAGCTAAAAGTGAAATGTTCCTATTTGGCATGATTTGGTAGCTTATTTTTTTCTAAGAATGCTCAAAAATTTTCCCACTTAATAGCACGTGTTCCCAGATTAAGTATATATATATATACATATATATATGTGTGTGTATGTATATATGTATATATAAAGTGTGTGTGTGTATATGTGTGTGTGTGCGCACACAACACACACACACACACACCAAATCAGAAAAAATGGGAATGCTCTACTGTTGGCTAACAGGGGAAACCTATATAGGGATGGAACACAGATAAATAGTTGCTAGAGGTTAAGGATGGAGAAGGTAAGAGGATGGATATATCTATAAAGGCATAACACAGGGGAATCTTATGATGTTACAAATGAGTATTTTAATTGTGGTAATTACACATGTATATATGTGTGTATATAACTGATGAAATCTGAATAAGATCTTTACCAAAGCCAAATTCTTTGTTCTAATAATTTATTATAGTTCATAAACTGCTAACAAGGATAGGAGGACGAGAGAAGGAGTAAGTTTCTTTGTGACCTACTATAAGTCTATCATTATTTCAAAATTAAATGTTTTTTAAAAGTTAAAATAACAGAAATAATGTTTATAACTTCTTATCCAGATAGTAAGAGAAAAAAGAAAATTCAATAAATCCAACTAGATTCAGTCAGGAGAAATTAGGAAGCAAAGAAAAAATAATAATTATAAACCGCAAAAGAGATAATACAAATAAATGAAAATATATTGAAATCACAATAGACATAAATGGACTAAACTTCACATTTGGCATTGAATCCTAATTATTTTTTAAATCTAGTTATTTTCCATGTGTAAGAGATAAGAATGAAATATAATGACATGGTGAGGAACATACTTTCATCATACCAGAAAAAAGTACCCCACTTTAGCTTTCATCCCCAACTCCAGCCCGAAGCAATCTTTTTTCTGTCTCTCGATTTGCCTTGTTCTGGGCTTCTCATAGAAATGGAAATAATGTAATCTTTTGTGGCTAGATTCTTTGATTAGTGTAAATTTTTTAAGACATTTCAATGCTATAGCTTATATCAGCACTTTATTCCTTATAGCTGAATAATATTCCATTGTATAAATATGCTACATTTTGTTATGCATTCTTTAGTTGTTGGCCATTTAAGTGACTTTTACTCTTCACTACATACATAATACTGCTAATAATGCTTGTGTACAAATTTTTATGTGAATATATTTTCGTTTCCCTTGGATTCATACATAGGCATGACAATACGGAATCAATTGGAAACTATGCTTAGCTTTTGAGGAACTGCCAGACTGTTTCCCAAATTGGTTGTACCATTTTGTATTCCCATCAGCAATATATGAATGTCCTGATTTATCTGTGTTTCCTATCATTTGCTATTTTCTGACCTTTTGATTATAGCAATTATATTTGGTGTCATAATATATCACTGTGGTTTTGATTTGCATTTCCTGTTAATTAACAATGTTGAAATCTTTTCATGTGCATATTCATTATTTGTCTTTAATGAAATGTCTGGCTAGCTCTTTTGCCCATTTTCAACTGAGCTTTTGTCTTTTTTGTTACTGGATTATAAGAGTTCTTTATAGGTTCTAGATATAAACTGCTTATCAGGTACTATGGTTTCCAAATATTTCTCCCATTTTATGGATTGCCTTTTCACTTTCTTAATAATATCCTGGGAAACAGAAAAATGTGGAGTAGTGATAAAGTTCAGGTGTTTTTATTTTACTGCTCATGATTTTGTTGTCTTATTCGTAAGACTCCATGGTCAAGTAAAAGATCATAATGATTTACCCCTTTACCAATTTTATAGTCTTTGGCTCTTGCATTTATTGCGCTATTGATTTTGAGTTAATTTTTTTACATAGAGTAAGATTAGCAAAGCACAGGTGTTCCAATTTCCCAAGGCCTCACCAGTACTTGTTTTTTGAAACTATAAAGTGGTAGCTCGTTTTGATTTGCATTTCCTAAATGAGTAGTATTGTTGGACATCTTTTCATGTGCTTATTGGTCATTTGTTTGTCTTTGGAGAGATGCCCATTTTTAAATTGGGTTGTGGTCTGTCTGTGGAGTTGTTCTTTATATAGTATATTGTAGAGGAGTTCTTTATATGGTCTGGCTATCAATCCTCTTTCAGATTTGTAATGTTCTCCCTCTCCCCATTGTGTGGGTTGCCTTTTATTTTTTATCTTTTCTAATGCTGTTTTTTTAATATACAAAAAGTTTCCAACTTGATGGAATTAAACTTTTTACTTTCGTTGCCTGTATTTTTGGTATTGTATTCAAGAAATTATTGCTGAATCCTGCCACCAATTTCTAAAAACTCAGTCTGGTGCCATTTAAACTATTCAGTGAATGATTTAAAGAATTTTAAAGTAAGTTATTTCTATTCAGCAATTTACTTTTATAATTATGGAAGATTTTTGTAATTATCCATTCTATCCCAAACTTCTTCTGAATCTTTATTTTCCTGATTACTGCCAAATGCATTCAATTGTAAACTGAAAGCATGGAAATAGCACATTGTATTATTCCCCAGGAGGAATAATGATCAAAATTATTGCCAAGTGCCTTTATTAGGAAAAGAATTCTTAACTGATTAAAGACTATGGATATTACATATCAACTATAAAATGAGTTTTCAACTTTTCTGCTTCATTTTCTCAAATACCAAATTTCACTTCAGCACGTTTAATAAAGTTCAAAACTTCAAAGACATTTTACATCCTAAAAAGGGTCTTTGTGGCCATAATGTTCATTTGAAATTCAAATAATTCCTTGGAATTTGAAGCTAGCTAGAAGTTATGTACTCCAAAGGGTCAGGGGAATCCCTTATATCATTGCTAATTTATCTGACCAGAACATCTTACACTGTTCTTTGTATGTAGATGAGAGCAACAGATGTATCTTATCATAATTTATTTATATGCTATTTATGATAAATACCTTGGGCAATGTGTAAGAACTAAATTTTTAACCTTTAGAGTTCTTGTTTGAAGTCATTTATATACATCATTAAACCCCTAATTTTGTACTGTAGATGATATAGAAGACCTAGTGGAAACCTAAGACATGGTTTCCTCTGAGAATTTGCGTGCTATTTATTCAGCTAACTGATGCACATGACAATAAAAGAGAATAAATAGGAGATGCTTACCATATAGAGTCTGAGAAACCAAAGGCTGTATGAGGAGTTCTCACTGAGGCAGATCACAGCATCCTAGGGGGGCGAGGTGTGAGTGCAATAGATTGAAGGAAGTAGCTGCTCAGTCTTGGTGAGCAGAATAACAAACAGACTTGTGACATATAACTGGAGAAAGTCATGTGCCAGGTACCTGAGGTAGCGGTAGTGTACTAAGAGTGCCATGGCTAGCTGAGTGTTTATAACAGATTACGGGAGCTGGTATCCTTTTATATTTGATGTGGTAAACAACAGAAAGATAACGTAGGCGCCTTACTGGTGGTGCAGTGGGTTAAAGCACAGCCCACTGAGGCTATCCACAGCCACTGCAGCATGAGTTTGATCCCTCGCCAGGAAGATGACCTACATGGTGCAGCAGACCTCTCTTGTCTTGCTAGCTGCACCCCTCAGCAGTGTATTTTGATCAGTCTGCTGGTTCTGCTCCCCACTCCATCTCTGATGAATCCTCTCACCCTGTGCACCTCTGGCCTACACCTCAGTTCTTCTATTTAAAACACACACACACACACACACACACACACACACTCTTGAGGCAGTGAGCACTTTAATCAGTGGAATTACTGAGGAAAATGGCCAGAATCAATAAATAAGAAGCATTCTAGGCGCAATGGGTTGGGAAACAGCACTGCAGGTTGGCCGCAGTCCCTTCAGTGTGAGTTTGATCCCCATCCCCGAGGTGACCCACATGGCGTGGCAGACCTCTCCTGACCCGCCTGCTGCTTCCCTCAGCAGTGTACCTCGTTGACCTGCCTGTTCTGCTCCTCACTCTGTCTCTGATGGATTCTCTCACCACCCCTGTATCTTTGGTTTGTACCCCAGTTCTATGTGCATAGATAGGTAAATCTTTAAAAAAAAAAGCAAAAAAAAAAAAGCATTCTATTGGGACAGTTGGAACTTATGGTTGTTTTCTTTTAGAAAATGAAGCAAATTCCTAGAGAACTAAATAAAAGGACTGTCCCAGTTCTAAAAAATAAAATTGACTAAAGTAAAAAACTAATCCTAATAAAACCATATTCATATTCCAAACTGATACTGGCAAATAGGTGCTAAGTAAATGTTGAATGTATAAATAAGTAAATATGTTCACTTAAATTTGTGGTTTGTTTTTCAGAACAGTATTATTTAAAGTACCATTTAAAGGGAACATTTTCTTTTACAGGTTCACCTTTTTGGAGTTTTGCTAGCCATTTTAGGAAACTTAGTAATCAGCATCTCCCTTAATATTCAGGTGAGATCAATTTCTTTTTTCTTTTTTTGTTTTATACAGGGACACACTATGACTCTCATAGACTGTGGGTACTTTGGCCCTCTTGGTTGCCTTCCTCTATAAAAAATATAAAATTTTATATTATATGAGTTCATTGATATAAGACTCATATAATACTATTACAGAATAGATTATGTTTACTTTTCTTCTGACTTTAAAAAAAGTTAAATGTTTTATGGACTTCTTAATAGTATTGTGTGCCCACAGCAAAGTGCCTAGGTGGCTTATGAATTTGTACCACACTTAAAAAAGTAATTATATCTTGGCATAAGCAGGATTATTTTTTCCATGTTTTATATTTTCTTCTGGTATCTCTATAATTTAAAAATTTTTAAAAGTAGTTTAGAACTATACATACTTCTCATGAGGAAGTAAGTACAGCTATAAAATCAATCGGGGTTTGTTTTTTTTGTATTTTTTTTGTTTCTTTTTTGCTTCAAATACAAAGAAATATTCATGTCAGATATGAGTTTCCCCCAATATGTGTCACCAAAGCATTCAGCCACAAATGTGTTTATTATGGGCCATTCTGACCCATAAACTTGAATTTATTTTCAAGTGTTTCTTTCTAATAATTCAGTATCTTTGTTTCAGTAATTTTTATTATTTTAGTACTTTCTGACATTCTGAAAAAATGTGTTTTGGTATAGTTGACTAAAAACTAAGTGTTTCAATCTACACCTCATCATTCGATAGTAATAAGGATTCTTATAGACTAAGTAACATACATTTATTAAAAGGCCCCTTTAACTATAAAGTATTTCATAAGTGTGAGTCACTTTTGCTATTTATATGTTTGGAACAAACAAATTACCATGATAATTGCTTTATAATAATCTGCAAATAATGCTTAAAAACCATGAAACAAATTTATAAGACCAGCAGTTCAAGGCAAGTTTTAATTGCATGGAAATGGTTCCTTATTTACATTCTGATTTTCTTGCAGAAATATTCCCATCTTCAGTTGGCACACCAAGAACACCCAAGACCATACTTCAAGAGCATGTTATGGTGGAGTGGGGTCATCCTGATGGCTGTGGGGGAGACAGGAAACTTTGCAGCCTATGGATTTGCCCCTATTACACTCATCGCCCCGTTAGGCTGTATGTCTGTTACAGGTGAGTCATTTTTCTGTGTTTTCACAAGTAAAAATTTTAAAATACTAGATATTTGGGGAAAATATGCAAGTGAACATATACGCAAAAGAAAAAGTCTATTTTCTGTTTTCTTGGCATGTTAACTTGGAGCAATCATATTACCAATTAGAGTTGCATGCTATCGTGCTGTGGCATTGCCCATGAAGGAACTTACATTTCATTGCTGTTAACACTTATGCGTAAAATTGTAATCCCAGGTCTGAGTCTTAATGAATTAACAGTAGCATCAGATATTATAGTGTGCTTTTGAACTGTTAATGAATGGTCTAAAAGCACTTGTAAAGAGCATTGTTTTTTGTTCATATTTAAACTACTTAACATGTCATTAGTCTTTGAAGCCCAATCTTGATTCAGTTGTTTAGCATCTTTTATATTAAGAATTAAATAGTTTTTGATGCCTTACCATAGGAATGTATATAATTATAATAAATCACAATTATCCACTTTCAAAGTTTATATGATTTATCTAATAAATTTAGGAAAGAGAAGATGAGACATTGCTAAAAATTGAGAAAAATAATAAGCAAAAATCATTGCTAAAAGGAAGAACAAGTTTTCTAAATCTTGTTAAAAGTAATAAAAATCATTTTAGCTTTACCCCTTATCTCCTGCAATGGGAATATAATGTTCCTAAAGTTTTTGTGAATTTAGAACCGTCATTGAAGTAGTAGTGAGTTGATGGCTGTTGTCTGGTAACAACTAGATCACACATATCACAATTTTAATAGTTTTACTAAAAATTACGATATTCTTAAAGCATAGGTTAAATTCAAGTCACGTATGTTCAAAGACATTTTTATTTCATTTGGAAAGTAGTTCCCCCGTGCTAACTACTGAAAGTATTTTATTTAAAATAATTTTATGACATACCAAAGTAGAATATTTAGTGAAGAATACTTTCTCTAGCCTTCTAGAAGTTGTTTAGTTAAAACATATTGATGCTTCTCTGCATAGGCCCACCACCATTTATGAATCATTTATTATTTTTAACATAATGAGCAATTTTGGCATATCTTTATCTCAATCTTATCTTTATATCTTATCTTTACTGCCTTTATCATATCACATACATGGGCATTCTGAATTTCTTCTTCTCAAAAATATGAGAAATAACCAATAAAAAGCCTAGATCTATTGTCACCTTGGGACTGCTAAAGATCCTGTTGCTCAGGAAATGTATTATTTTCATAATGACTATTTAGAGCTTATCTTTAGTTTTATTTCTTATTCTGCTTTATGCTCAGTTTCCACTTAATAACCAAAGGAAAAAGTGTCAGGCATTTCTTGCCCACAAAAACAAGGTCAGAAAAAAAGATGTGTCAGTAAAATGTGTCAGGTATATCAGATACCTGGGGAGGGTGAAGTGTACCAGGCTGTCGTGAAATTCTCTATTGATGGGTCTTTCTGTCCTGGGAAACCCTTTTCTGGGAATGAAAGAGAGCTACTCCAATTAGCTGAAAGCTAGGGAGCAGGTATGTGACTGGATTTATTGTAAAGCTCAAGACTTCATAGAGTTGAAATACAGCCAGGCCAAGTAGAACCTGAAGTGAGGATTCAGAAATCGCCTGAGGTAAAGGGCCAGCATAGAAGTTCCTCATATGCCATCAGAGACGCTGTCTTCTATGGACCTGCTCCTCTTGGCCTGACCTGCTCCTCTTGGCCTGACCTGCTCAAAGCTCTTATTAATAACAGGAAGCTTAATGTTTCCCTCTTCCTGTCCCCCCCAAATCCCTGTGAGACCAGTCCACCCTCCTTCAAATCTGAAACCAATCCCTTGACACAGGCTTTTCTGCAAGCTATGTAGATCACGCTTTATTTGCTCTGGGTCCCAAATAATATTTCAGCTGTTGAGCAATTTTAGCAACCTCCCTCCATTTAAAATGATTCAAAGAAGTAAACTTACAGCCTCAAGTGCAAATCATTTCCTACTTTTTTTTTTCAGCACAGATAGTTCTATTTTTATTTATAGTTTAAAAATCATATTACTCCAAACAGAAATTCTATATATATAAATAATAACAACTCTCCTCCCCCAGTTCTTGGTCACTTCTATTCTACTTTTTAAAAAAAAAAAAAAAGATTTATTTATTTGTACATACAGAACTGGCATACAGGCCAGAGGCTCAGGGGCGGTGAGAGGCTTCACCAGAGACAGAGTGGGGAGCAGAACAGGCAGATCGACGAAGTACACTGCTGAGGGGAGCAGCGGGCAGGTCAGGAGAGGTCTGCCATGCCATGTGGTCACCTCCGGGGCAGGCGGGAATCGAACTCATGCGGAAGTGGCTTTAGCTTCTCAGTGCAATGCTTTAACCCGCTGCGCCACCAGGGAGGGCCGTATTCTACTTTTTTTTATTTTTTTCTTATTTTTTAATTATATATATTTTTTTATCATTCTTCATTTTGTGCACTTTTTCATCTCAGCTGTAATCCCCATGGCTTCACACCACCAATTCACCTGTGTGCTATCACCATAGTCCAGTGCACTCTTCCCATTCCAGTTCTGATCCCATCCTCCTTCCACCCCCATAAAATGTCTCTGGTTTATAGTTGTTCATTGTTTTCATTTTTACTCTATTACATTTGTTTGTGTCTCTCTCTCTTTTTCCGCCCCCGATCCTTCACACTCCTGCTATGAGTGAAAACATCCGGTCAGTATTTTTCTTTTTCTTTCTGGCTTATTTCACATATACACACAAAAAAAATAAACTTATGCCTTTCGCAGTAACAGAGATGGGGCTGGAAGGGATCATGCTTAATGAAATCATTTTCTACTTTTAATCTTTGCAGACAGTAACATACACTCATAAGTAATATGCCTGATTGTGGCTCTCCTGAGCAGAGGTTGGGTTATTGGAACAACCTGACTTTCATGATAAATATTCTAGAATGCCTCGAGAACTTAAGGCAAAGGAGAAAGTATTTTTAAAGCACATGTACCTCATGACTGTGTCCACAGATGAAGCAGAGGAGTGTCCTAGAACTTTTTTACTTCATCTTTTGGGAGCTTCCAGAATGAAATCACACCTCCCATTGAATTTAAAAAAAAAAAGTGTTTTGCAGTGTTCATGGGAAAGTCACATTCTTTTTTGAATTCTCTTCTTTTGTTGCTTTCCAAATTTAAAAAAAAGAATTAAGATCCAGAACAGTTTTTTTGTTTTGTTTTTTACATTTTAGCACTTAAATCCAACTGAAGATACTTTCTTCCTTCTTCTTCCCTCTCCTCAGGTGTTATGGTTCTTCTTTTTTTAAATGCATTCATTATTATTATTATCATTATTATTATTATTATTATTATTACATCATTCTTCATTTTGTACATTTTTTCCTCTTGGTTGTAGTCCCCGTGGGCTCTGGTTCTTAACAACACTCTGCTCCTATTTTTCTTTCCAGAAGTACGGAGATACTGCGTGGGTATCATGCACTATTCTTACTACATGCAATTGCTAATGTGTCAGATCTTCTGTCTTCTCTTATGTAATCAAAACTCATGCTCTCTTTGTAACTTGAACAAAATTTTTCCCATATTAATACATAAGAAGCACTATGGCTGGCTGTACAGGCATTTCAGTCTGCACTTACCCACACTCTTTGTCAAACTTCCTTCCTATCTTTACTTTTGCTCTCTGGATTTGCCCACGGACTTACCCACCTCACAGCAGCCTTTTTCAGACACTAGTTTCACGGGTGGTTTCAAAGATGTCCTAAGAAAAGCAAAATTCTTCAAACAAGTTTCTGCAACATTGGATTGAAAAACTGATCCAGGCCCTCCCTGGTGGCGCAGCGGGTTAAAGCACAGCACTGAGAATCTAAAGCTGCTTCCGCATGAGTTCGATTCCCGCCTGCCCCGGAGGTGACCACATGGCGTGGCAGACCTCTCCTGACCCGCCCGCTGCTCCCCTCAGCAGTGTACTTCATCGATCTGCCTGTTCTGTTCCCCACTCTGTCTCTGGTGAAGCCTCTCACCGCCCCTGAGCCTCTGGCCTGTACCCCAGTTCTGTATGCACAAATAAATAAATCTTAAAAAAAAAAAGAAAGAAAAAAAAAAAGAAAAACTGATCCAGCTTTTACTACTGCAGCACTCCCAGTGACTCTGGCTCACCCCACCTACGGGCCCGTCCTTCAGAGGCCAGTGCAGATAGCCAGGTTTCCAAGCCTATTAACCACAAGGTGCTTTTATGAAAACTGTCTCAAAGGACTCCAGTTCTGCAGAAAACCCTCTAGGGAATCCTTAAAACAATGCTCACAGTAGTCACAGCAACCTAAAGATTCAGGCTATGTAGCTTCCCTGTGCATTGAAATGAGGATACTGGGGAACCATCCTGGTGTGTAGGTGTATCGGAATGTCCAGGCCTAGGTTCAGCTTTCTGAGAGTTTGAGAGCCCTCTTGTCCTGTTCTTTTCACACGGATGGTCTTAGTGAAGAATAGCTCTTAAAGCGCATTCTGAGTAAAGTTATGCAGGCAGTATGACTAATCTAGATGTTGATTTGTTTGTGTTTCCATTAATTAAGCTTACTGGGTGGTTTTCCAGTTTTATTAGATCCTCAGTTGATTGCTTGTCCCGAGAAGCTAGGGCACTAGGAAAGCCAATAGCAACAACTCTCAGGCCACTCTGCCAGGATTCAAACCCCTGTTCTGCCAGAAAGCTCTGTGATCCTGAGCAAGATTTTAAGCTGGTTTATGCCTCAGATCCCTAATCTATAAAATTGTTCCTATGTAAAAAGTTGTCCTAGGGAAGAAATGAGTAAACACAAACAACCCCCAAAAATGTTGGATACATAGTACAGTTTGACCTAGTGACAATACTGGTTATTGTCACTGTGATTTATAATTATTATCTCGTGGAAGCAAAGTATGTTATTCTTTATCATGGTTTTTACTTCCGTGACCCCAAAGATGGCTAATGGTTAAGTTCTCTAAAATAGATGAACCAGTTCAAAACATTCTTTTTGTTTTTCCTTAT